TCAGGACTTAAGAGAAATAATCTTCCTTCCAGGGCTATTTGTCTGGTTTCAGGCTGACTAAGGATCACAGTTCCAGCCCCCAGCTGCTAGCGCCACACCACCCATCCCACCTGGTCCTCATGGGCCTTTGTGCTGTGCGGCAAGGACAGCTGCCTTAGCTGTTCAGCACTAACACCTGTAGCGGTCACCACGACCCAGGCAGCAGGGGGTTCCCTTCTCTCCATCGAGAGCCGGGGTTGTACCAGCAAAGTTTTAATACTGGGGTACAAGAAGCCTGCAGTATCTGGACGAGGCTTGGGTAACGAAGTGGGGGTGGGAGACCCGCCACCAGAATTAAAGTCCTCCTCCTCATTATCCACTTTCACTGATCCGCTCTCTGAGAGCAGGCACGTAGGCTCTTGCTCTGGTTGTCGTACAGCCAGAGGTCTGAGGCTTATTTGTATTTGTCTCATTGGTTTGCAACAAAGCTATAGGATTGAAAGGCAACTGCTCATGCTTCTGCATCCTTAGCTCGCTGTAAAAGCTTCCAGTTCCTGCTGAACAGTGTTAAACAAAGCACCTACGGTTGCCAATGCCTCCATGAGAAGCCTGATTAAGGCCCCCTGGCCATCTTCTGCCCTGCATTTATGAGCATCCTGAGACACTTCTGAAACTCTGCTCACAGCAATTCCCAATTCAAACATTTCTCAGATGCCAAATCCCTGTCCCCAAAGGGTTTTCTACCCCTTAGCCTCTTGCCTTTTTCACTGTTCTACCACCTCCTCCTGAGCATCTATGACCTGTCTGCCACAGAACTCCACTCCTGACACCAATTAATACCACAACCCAGTTCTGTTAGCTGCCCTGCTGGACTCTGTCATGCACAAAGACACAGAGGATTTACTACCTATGTTCTTTACTTCATTACAGTTTACTACTATCAAGGCAAGTATAGCTGCAATTGGCAAACAAGTACACCTATACTACCACTAACTACCAAAAAGCAAATATATATGTGCACAGCAGCAGCAATCAATATTAGCAGCAAGTCTGTTTCAATATTACAGATTACTGCAGAATTAAGACTAGTAAAGCACAAAATATACTTATCAGTAATTACTAACATGCAGACTTTCTATACGCATATATATAAATGTATTTAAAAACGTTACCAGTACCGAGTGCTCATCAAACTCATCCAAGCAGTGAGGCCAGTCGACAAAATAAGAAGTCTCACTTGGACAGTGATCCACATGATGAAGCCCAGAGTCAGCCTGGTGTCCCCAGCGAGGGTCTGCTCTGCTGAGGAAAGAGCCTCCATTTTAGGTGAAAAGTAAGTCCTTTTTATGCTACAGAGACATAAAGGGGAGTAGGACACCACCTCCCAGAGCAGCCAATAGATGCTGCTACTTTCTATTTTTCACCTGGCACAGCCACTAACTGGTGATGTTTTCTATTCTCTCAGACCAATTTTTGTTTTATCAGACTGTTTTTCTGTTCTGCGAGTTAGGACAATCAATAGCAGTTACTGATTCTTCCTTTCTCAGGATGTTTTCCTCCTTTTCCAGACTGGCTTTTTTCACTTTCCCAGATGATAAGCTGTTGTTACGGTTCCTTGTTTTTGTGTTTTGCATCAATGGTATCTCAGGATAGCTCTGGTTTCTTGGTATTCAGCTGCACTTCAAACCTGTCAGCTGCACTCCTCAAGGACACTTCTGGTTCCCAGGCTGGCAGGCATTTTCTTTCCTCATTTTTTTGAGCAGAATTCTTCTTCTATCCAATATTTTCCCCCTTGTAATCAGGTTGCCTTTATGGCTGCTCCCATCATCAGCCTAAAATTACACCTCTCAGCAAAGCAGAAATCATCAGCTACAGGGAACACGGCAGAACTTCCCCATCTAAATAGTCTTGTCTGTAAACTGTCTTTTGTATAGCTACTATTAGTTGTTCAGGAACAGATCAAAAGTGACTGCACTAGTTTTGCTTCTCCTTCTGCAATACCTATTTGGGTAAACGCAACCTATGGCATATCATCGCACTTCTGCTCAGGAGGCCATGCTGTAAGCAAGAACTTCATAGCTAGAGCCTTGCTCAGGCTTTCTCCTGTTCTCTGTACATTCCAGCCTCCATCTACAACCCTGCATTTTCACAGCCTGACTGTGGATAGCATCAGCTTATGAGAAAATGTTCAGAACAGAACATGGATCATATAGAAACAGAGAACCAAGACTGAGGACAAAGTTAACCCAGACATGCAGGCATGGTCACAGCTCCCAGCCTGAAAAAGCCTGCCAAAAGAGGTAGAGGAAAACCTGAAGCTGGAGCAGGCTGAGTTTTAATTTGCTGCATCATTCAAACATGAAGCTGTACTTGTCACTGTGGTACAGGCTGACCAAGAACCAACAGAGTGATTCCAAACAAACAAAACATCCAGCCTGTCTAGCCCACAGTCCAGTTACAAGTGTTCCAAAACAGAGCATTTCCCTGAGACAGTGACCTCCAAAACTCAGATCTGGAAAGAAACTTCCTCTGGGTGTTTCACATTCTTTGGTCCTGTTCCCTAAATGCAATGTTTGTGTCACTTGCTAAAAAAATCCACAGCAACAGGCTTCCCACATAAAGGGAAGTGATTCAGTTATTTTTCTGGGATTAAGTCTTGAATAAACTTTCCATAGAAAAGGCTAATGAAACTATAGTATGACCTGTCAATTATTGCAATGTTGATACTGTGACATACAAATGCTTTTAAGCACAAAAAAGTTAATGCTGTTATATTTAATTCAGTGCTGGGTTTATCAAGATTTTGCAAGAATTTTAAGCCTGAGTAAAGCATTGTACTTACGCAGTTACATTGACTGAAGTGTCCAGGCTGGGTTCCCTTGGCACAGTACTCCTTGTGCTAGACAGATACCCACAATCTCAGAGAGATAGAGTGAATTTTACATACAAATATCAAAAACTACATAACAATTCCTTAATGGTTCCAGCTTGTGCTGGTGTCTCACACAGTCCCTGCTATGCTGCTTTGAAAAAGCAGTAAGTCAGCCTTCCTCCTGCTGCCAGCACTGACAACACTTGATCAGTCTTATTTCACTATGAAATGCATGATATCCTTTCATTTTGTTGCAACCATACTCCAGGGTGGATTAAGGATCACAATTTCATATAAATGCCTACTCGGCAGATAATATAAATCATGTGATAACCCAGTAATTTAAATATAGCCTTATGCCTCTACCCCCGACTCTATCAGATCAGAGAATGTACTGCAAGACTTTCAGATTCATATATTATGATGCAAATGAGCTTTGTAAATTGTGACCTAGTTCCCATGTTAGGAACAGTTGGGACCAACAGCAGGAACCATGTGATGAATGCGAGCAGCAGGGGCAAGAAAGGAAATTAACATTTGTTCTTAATTTGAAATGGATTTTTAATCACTTTCAGGTGCCTCAAAGGAAGTGCACACACTTGTTTTCTATAATCATTCTGACAGAAGAATGCATATAGGAGGTAACATGTTTTTGTTTCACTAATTGAAACGTTTGCAACATTGGTGTCAGATGAAGCACCAGAATACAGCTCTTTCTGGATGATTTACCGAGTGCACCATGAACGACTGTGAGATTACGTTTTCCAATTGATGTGTTCCTCAGAACTTGTTTTGTTAAGAAAATGAGTAGCACGTATCCTCTAAGTGAGTGGATATTAAATCACATCTATCTCTCCAAATACAGTGGCTATTCTTCCAGGTAAAGGCCTGATAAACTAGCTCTCTAAAGAGTCTGCTCAGGGATTTGGCTGCATGGATGTCAGCTGCTTAACATGTGGATCCAGCACAATTAGTGGAAAATACCAAACTCACAAAAATCTGCTTACACTGTTAACAGTGAGCCTACAACAACAAACAGTGCTGAACTCCAGCCCAAGGGAGCATTCTGGTAAACTCTACTGTTTTAAATGGGTGTGATTTGTTGAAAACCAGGCAAATTTTCATCCTAAGCATACCTAGAGTTGGTACCATCACCACTGGAAATTAGGTGTAAAAGAACTAGGATGTCGATTGCACTGACAAAAATAGGATCTCAGCTCCCTCTGGTGGAACAAGTGATTTTCTGCAAAACAGTTTTGAGAAAGTTTTGTTTCTGCTACAGGCCTCAAGGCGGCTATATAATTAAGACAAGACAGTAAACGAATTCCAATTCCTCCATTCACTTTGAAGGGCTGGAACTTCTCAGAAGTTGATGTAAAGTACCAAGACTCGCAACTGTTGCAGGGTGGGTGCAGAAGATACAACACCTTCATCATTTTCTAGCCTCTATCTTCCCTGGATGGAGTTCTCCAGATGTAAACTATGATACATAAGACAACTATTGAACCAAATGGTAATTTGAAGGGAAAACAAATCACACACACAGAGTAAGTTTTAATATTCTCTCCACACTAACCAACTCCTAGGCCATATAAGCAGCCCTATCATCAAAATGAGTGGAAGCACACCTCCAGGGCATATGAAATACGTAAGGGTAAAGTCATCACCTCCAACACAGCCAGCCAGGAAGTCATCCCGTTGTTTGTTTCTGAAGCCTGACTGGCTACAGACCATAATGTCAAAAATACAAGAATCCTGAGGCCAAGTCTAAGACCAAGTCTTTATCCCTTTCTTACACACTCTGTATAGATCAAATCCAACCAACACTCAAAAAAACTTTGCGAACTTCAGCATAACTCAATTTATTTCAAAAGGCTTAGTTAAAAGCGAGTACTAATGCCAAAAAACCACTTCTCACTATATACAGTTGTTCCTAGTCTACAGTTTCCTCTCATTAAAGGAATCAACAGCTCTAACTGTAATTAAGCACACAACTAGTTGCTCTGAAAAATTCTTTGTAAATCCTGTAAACAGAAGCAGGAGCAATTCCTGCAATCACAAACATATTAGAGTGATTTTTGTAATACTGGGGTTCTGAAAATGGTATGTAACACTGCCACAGAACAAAGACTTACAGACCCAATGAAAAGAAAACAGTAGCAAAAGTATTTATTAAACACCACATTATTCAATTTCACAGTGTCGGATTAAGGCCCATACATACTTGCTCCTTGGAAATAGCAGAGCTGAGTAATCCTGTGAGAGTGGGGCAGCAGGTCAGGTCTGCAACGGAAGTTTATTAAGAACACTAAAATACTGTTCCCATAGCCATAAGGAATTTGAGGGTGAGGAAAAGAAAGAAAAGCAACAACAGCCAACCAAATACCCTTGGAGTGTTTCATGCAATGTTTTTCAACAGAGAAAAGCTTTTTTAAGACTGAGCATAAAGTTTTGATTTCATACATTCTTACTATTAAAAAACAGAACCATGGTGTGTACAACTTAATCTGTGTGATAACAACTGAAAATAATTTAGTCAGTAACAGTTCTCCAAAAGGGCAGTTTTCTACTGGCTGAAGTGTCTATATATTTAACTGGAAGTCTCACGATGATTGAAGCTCCACCAGCTTTGCTTATGGACCAGCAAAGCAGCCTACTTTCAATCTTCTGCATGAATACCAAGTCTGTTTAAGTAGCTCTCCCAAGCTGCTTTTCTGTACTTCTCTGCTTCTTGAAGACGGTCTGAAGCTGACAAGATGCCACGTCCCACAATAACGATATCCGAACCTTTTTCGCCAATAACTTCCTTGGGGCTTAGGTACTTCTGTCCAAGGTTATCACCTGAAATAGAAACACCTTTTTTTTTTTTTTTTAGTTTTATGAAAGCTTTATCTACTAGAAACCTTCAAAGAGGTGCTGGAACAGAGAACAGTTATGCTGTTCCAGCTCTCACCCCCTAACAATCCAAACAAGTAACTAGAACTGTGACTCCAACTAGTGAACCCCCTGTTACACAGGCACAATTTAACAGATGGCACCCTCCTTTTTCATGATTTAACTGTTCCATCTGTTGTGACTGGTATGCAAAGAAGCACCTACCAGGATTACTGAAATGAACCCTCACTTTGCTTAAAACAGGCAAAGCCCCAAAACATTCACATAAAAGCCTGTTAATTTCAATTCGGGGTTTGCAAGAGTTAAGTATTGCAGAGAAACACATCTCCTCTACCTGGTTCAGTGATAACCTGTCACATCAATGTAACACTTCCAATTCATTCATGCTGCATCTACATCAGCATCAACAAACTTCTGTAGTTGTCAAAAACCTTTTCTTCTACTCCTACTGAGCATGTGAATATGTAACCTATCTGAAGACATTTCACATGTTTCAAGGACTGTGCTTTATAGTATGCACAGACCTCAGCACACAGACAAAGCTGTGTAGTCTGCTGGCTGCCCTTCATATCAGCATACCAGAAATGCAGAAGGCAACCCATAATGGTGGCAGAGACTCTTCCCACCAGAGAATCAGCAATCAAACTTTCTTCAGAAGTCACTTCTTCACTGAAGGCTAAATCACTTACTGTATTTACAGACAGACCATAAACATTTCAGAAGACATTACCTCCAGTTTGCAGCTGCACCCCTGGAGTTAAGTGAAGAAATTCTGGTTTATTACTAACTCTAGATGTAGATATGAATCCAAAAACAAAATCAGAGTTGTCTTCAGCCATCTGTACCTGAAACAGATCAGCAAACAGTTACAAGTGATATACATAAAATTAACCTTGACTAGCAATGTGTTTCTCATTCACCCTTTGACGCATTATTAAGCTGTGCAAGGCAGCAGCATCAAACACCTGCTCTTACTTTACCAATACAAAGTCACCCAGAGCTGACTCACCCCCCACTGATCTTGCTGCACCTGCAGCCAGGAATATGAGTGTTACTAGTTTTTTTTCTATGTTATAAATACTACAGTGAATGAATAATTAAAACTAATTAGAAATATATCACTTCATGAAAAAAGGGGGGGGGGCGGGCCGGGGGAGAGGTCTGGGGGTTGGTGTTAATAGCAAACTTGGCGCGTCTAACAGAATTCAGAGAATGAACTGTGACCACCTCCCCAGACCAGCTTACAGCTGCAACCTTTAACCACCACAGTCAGATTTCTGAGTCTCCAAGGAGAAAAAACAAACACAACTGTAACTGTTAGAGCTGGAGAGAATTTTGGAAGTACAAATATTAGAAGCCCATAAAACCTCCATGTCACAACACTTTACAAGCTTTTAACCCCAAAAAAGACTGCCTACTTACTGCAGCTTTTGTGTATTCGGCAGTTATAAGTGACCCTTGGGAACTCATCTCAGCGATCAGAAGACAGCCACGCTGGAGAGGAAGACCTACTTCCTTCAGACCTTTAACAACTCCAGAGCCTGGAACCACATGGGCATTAATGATGTCTGACCAGGATGCAATTCTAAACACACCACCTAAGAACATGGATAAAAGACATAGGCAAAGCCTCATTAGAAATGTTTTAAACAGGAAACACAAGTTAAACAAAAACAAGCTGCATGCTTAATCACTCACATTTTAGAAGACAGTTTTACTACTCAAGCTTGACTGTTACGAGTTCAGTCTCAGACAGTTCTGACAGCTGCCTAATCACAAAGTGTAATCTCTGTTTTACTTTTCACAAATGCTTCTCAGCATCTCATCTTTCATGCTCACCAAGATGTTTATGGAAACCTAGAAATACACCATCACAGGTGCTACCCTTCAATACAGTATGAAGATCATTCAGGAGATACGGAACAGAAAAAAACACTTCTACAGTTGCAAATGCAGAATCAAATGACAGCCATAACAACCACACAAACATAAAATAGCAGGCTGCCTCAAGAAGCCACACTGTGTTTTCTCACAGCAAACAACTAGTCAGAAGTACTTACTGAGCACAGCCATAGATTCATAAAAAGGTTTAGGAGGGAAGGAACGCTTGGAGGTCATGCCCTTAGAGCAGGGTTAACTTCAAAGCTAGATCTGGTTGCTCAGCCTTGAGTCTTCTCCAAGGTTGGAGATTCCACAATGTCCTGGCAACCCATGATAGCACTGCAGTTACACAAACAGTGAAGTTACAGTAAATCAAGGCTGATGACAATCACCTTCATACTGATGTTTCACTGTGTTTCCAATGTCTGCGAATTTCCTGTCTTCAAAAATCAAGAACTCGTGTCGATCTGCGAGTGTTCTTAACTCCTTTACTACTTCTTGTGTGTAATCATTCAGGATGTCTATATGAGTCTTCAGGATACAAATGCTGGGGCCCAGGGTGGCAGCTAACTGCAGCAGCTCTTTGGAGCTAGTGACATCAGCAGAAAGGCACAAATTTGTTTGCTTCTTTCCCATGAGCGCAAGAAGCCTGGCTGCAACAGGATGTACCCCCGGCAGCTTGGCACGAGCACTGAAGCTCAGCTCTTTGCATAGCCTCTTCAAAGGAGCAGGGCCATTCTGAGCCACTGGCGCAAACACATTTCCCTCAATGAAATTCTTCACCTTTTCAACCATTTCAACAGACACTTCTCCTTGCTGCTGGAGGACCTCCAACACCCCGGACAATGTGCACACAGAGTGCAGGCGAATTCCACATTCCTCTAACCTGGCCTTCCCACCCTGCTCCCTGTCCAACAGCACTACGGCATCTGTGACTTTTAATCCTTCTTTCTGAAGAACTTCTGCAGTTTCGAGTACACTAGATCCACTTGTTACCACATCTTCAATGATCAAGCATGTTTCTCCTGGATTAATCGTGCCTTCTACCAGCCGCTTAGTACCTTAAGAATAAAAAGCAAACACTCCACTAAATGAAGAAACTTTAAAAGACCCCCCAAAAGTATCTAAATTTTAACTTGTTATGCTAATGTTGACATCAACTTATTCAAAATACACTGCAGCATATCCTGAGTGTCCAATGGAACTGGATTTCAAGAAAATAGGAATTTCACATTCACTGTAAATAAGGCAATGTAATTTGTTTAGTTATTACCTGATACCATTTATCTCAGGTCTTATCACAGCTCAGTCACTGATCTGTAATTCAATTTATCAAGATGTTACTTCTCCAAGTTAATAAAGTATTTCTTTGGGTTCCAGAAGTTAGGTTGCATTAACAAAACTGGCATATGGTTAACTGCACAAATTTAAATCTCTGGATAAGATGCCTACAGCAATCTAGTATTGCCATGAACAGAATGCTCCAAATTACAAAACTGTTCTCTCCAGTTATTTAGCAAGTCTTTAAAGTTGCCAAGTTAGTTACTGGTGCTTTTCAGCATATTCCCTATTTTCCACAGGCAGCATTCTGTGCTTAATATGCCTGTTAGAACAATTACAAGTAGAGCCCCAAATGCCTCTGCCTCAACCAACAACAGGCACACATCCATGAAAGACCTCCTGGGGGGCAACAACAAAGGATGTACGCTTTCTCAGGAAGCAGCAAGCAGCAGGAGAACATTATGCAGGCAGTGTGGTGCTTAGCCCATGACAGCATAGAAAACAAGTGTGTTACAGCTTTGCAACACGTGACACCAGAAACCTTGTGCCAGGCAGTTAAGGTTGTCACAATTGACTTTCCATTCACAAGAAGGAACAGCAGATGTTTACATGCCTGGCACATGAACACAGGAATTACATTTGTTTTGACAAGCATACTTCCTAATTAAATACTATAGGAAGAGTATAGGTCTTGTCACATGTAGAAATCCAGTTGCTACAGCAGGTTAACACTTCAGCCTTTTCTCCCTCTTCCTTCATAAATGGCTTCTGAAGAGACTAGAGAGGTTGATCTGGTCAGTACTCAAAATCTGTCTGGGGATGAGATGTGTCACTGTTCTCTGCATATCAGAGAAACTGAGTTACATATCTTGGTCTCTAGAAGAGGCCAGTAACCCAAAAGCATGCTAGTTGTGCTAAGGGGAAAAAAGATGCTGCTGAAGCGGAGACACAAACAAAACCTACCCCAATAGACAAAAATCGCCCTCCTCAAGAGCTTCCAAACACACTACAGCAAGGATTAAAGCTGCAGCCTCATCAGCAACCAGTTGGGAGAGCCTTATCAGGCTGGGGTGCTGTGGGAGGCATGTTTGAGGGGGAATAGGAACTCTGTTTTGAACTAGAGCAGTAAGCGTAAATTGGGATGCAGATTCTGCAAATTTTACAAAAGATCCACAGACTACCCAAACTAGACAAGCAGACAAAGTCTCTATTTGAAGGTTTTACCATAGTCTTTTGCTTCCTTCCTCCGTATAAGCATCGGAACCTGCTTTTCTGAGCAGATAATTGTGGCCAACGGCAGCGCAGTGTAAGGAACACCACACACGCAGTCATACTGCACACCGGCATCTTTGGCTGCTTGGAACAGAAGATCTGCAACCTGAAAAAGAAACCCAAACACTCCTTTAAGGAATCAGACCGGTGTGACCGTGATTAAACGAACGCACTGCGAGGGGAGCAATGCAAACACATGAGAAACTCTTCCCTCCACAGGACCAGGGGCAGCCGCTGTCCCTACAGCGAGCGGACAGACAACGCCTGCACCCAGCGGGCCCAGCCCCGTGCCTCCCGCCTTCCCTGAGCTAAACGAGGCTCTCCGCCCGGCCAGAGGCGGGGGCACACGGGGGGCACCTGCCGGAGGAGGCGCGGGTGCGACACGAGGCAGCGCAGGTCGATGTACACGGGGGAGGCGCGGCCGCTCTTCAGCACGAAGTCACCGAACCGCAGCGAGCCCGCCTCGCGCAGCGCCCCCGCCACACGCCCCGCCGCCGCCATCCCGCTGCGGGCCGAACCGGCGCCGGGTGATGACGGAAGGGGGGAAACGGGAAGAGAGAACTGCGCGCATGCGCAGGAGGGGAGCGCGGCACTGATCCCCGCCGCGCCGGGCCCGGCCTGCCCCAGCATGCCGCGGTTCGGCCCCTTCCTGCGCCACAGAGCCCAGCCCGTCCGGCAGAGGGCGCAGCTCCCACTCGGTGCTCGGCCTCCGCGCGGGAGGCGCGCTCGCAGTGTGCCGGTCCCGGGCAGCACCAGCGCCTCCCAGTGGGAAGCAGAAACCGCTGCTGCAGGGTGGGTTCGGTGTGAGCCGAGGGCCTCGCTGTCCCGCGGCGCTCGGTGTGACTGCCCAAACGGCTGCGTGGTTCCCGGGTTGGTGTCCGCAAGGCTTAGAGCTGGCTGGAGCAAGAGTCCTCGCTCTAGTTTCCCCAGATCCCTCTGAAACAGATGAGCTGTGCAAAGTGATCGGGAAGCTCCAAGTCCCCAAGGCCTCAGACAGGTTGCCGTATGTGTGAAATAAGACTGACCCGGTCTTCTCTGAACAACTGTATTTAATCAAAAAAGCCCAGAAACTGAATTATTAGTATACTCTATTTATAGGAATGCAAGGACAGAAGATGTACAGCTGGAAACTACATCTGTAGGTGATCATACATACTGCGGTATAGTAACAACAACAGGGGACAGCAGGTACTCACAACAGTACACGAGTGATTAGACTTACAAAGGAAATATTTACAAACTTACCTTTACAAAACAACATTGTGTGCATACAAAATGAAATCCGCAATAAAACTGAAAATACATTTAAGGCAGACCAGCAATACACTGAAATAATTAAGGCTGTGGAATTACTTTGCACCTTGAAAATGCTGAGCTGTTAGCAATACTGTTCCTTTTTTTCTCCTTCAGTTGATCGTTGCAAAGATTGAAAAGCATCAGTATATTCCAGCTGCTTGCTCTTATCTCAGTAACTCTGAGACTTAATTTGTGGGTTGGGGTTTTTTTTCATTGTTTTTTTTCTTTTGTTTTCACTTTCTATTGCATTTGCTTTCTGAAAGTTATCAAATATAGGCAAATTGGCCACAGTGGCAGAGCAATGCTGAACAGTTTGTTAGAAAGAGAAGTAAAAGCACCGGCATCAGAAGTTGGGCGTGAAGGTGAAATATGGCTTGTGCAGAGATGTTTTTTTTTCACGAGCTTTATAATAAAGACTACGGTTACAGCGAACATTCAGCATCCTGACACTATGGTAACACTCACCACTATGAAGATCCCAGAACAAGAATTCATCACTTGATGGCAGTGTGCAGTCAGCCTAGTATAATGGGATTTGATTTTGTTTCCTTGGGAAAGCACCATTTTCTTATGGGACATGAAAGAATGAGCTGGAATATAAACCCATGCCCTATGTTATAGAAGAGACCACCTCTGCAATGAAAGGAACAGAAACAAAACTGGGTGGTTATCCCCTGTGCGTGTTAATTATCTGTTAGACCTTTGTATGCACAGACTAGCCTTTACATCTGTCTCTGAAGTTTATATTATCCCAGGTCACTTGATGCAGTCCCCTCATTGCAAGGGTATTAAAGGATGGTTATATATAGTCAGGTCATAATGTGTGGGTCTGCATTTAGCCTTTAGTCATGGTATTCATAACAAAGGCATAATAGCATTGTCAGAAATGCTAATGAACTCCATTGAAGCCGCAGCACTTGTACAGGTCAGTTGAGGGCACAGACTTTGTCTCAGCATTAATGTAGTTTACAAGTAAAACACTTTTACAGATTAATGTTACCAGGAAAAGAAAGAAAGGAGTTAATTTAAAATAAAAGGACAGCAAGACTAAACAAAACTTGCCGGTACAAGTAGGAAGAAAGAAATTTTATAAATTTTAAAGCCTGGATTACTTTAAAATACTGAAATGTAAAACCCTGGACTGGCTGTGTGTCACCCCTGTAGTAACATGCACAGGGGGCCTGGCAGCTTGGTGGGGATCTCCTACATGGCAACAAGTGCTCCAGACACCTGGTGGGAGCTGACAGTGTTAATGTGGGCAATCCGATTTCCTGTTTGATGGCCAAGAGTGAAACGGCCCGGCCTGGCTGCTCCAAGTGGAGCAGAAAGAGGCGAATTACTCATCACCACATGTGTTTATTAAATGTAGCCATCTTAAATAACAACTGCTGCACATCACCATGCTCTCCATGTGCTGTTCCATTGGTGCTCAGCACCGGGGACACTGCGGACAAGTGTACTTTGATGTCGGTGCTGGGGAAGAGCATGGTGAAGATGTCTGAAGGTGGTGGCGGTGTGTAAAGTGCCAGTCTGCACCGAACTTGTGGTGCTCTGTTGGTAATATTACGGCTGGTCATTCTAGCTGGTCTGAAGCTTCTGCAGAAGCTAGAGGTGCAGCTACCATCATACCTTCACTTGGTGGTCTTGGAACACCCTGGGTGGTAAAGCTGAAGGTGGAAATCTTCCCCTCAGACACAGCTGCTCTTTTGGGAGGTTTATAAAGGCCCAACAGAGCTTTATGAGAAACTGTTTCACTGTGTTTGTTACAGAAAGTATTTCACGCACAAAACCCCCCATAGTTGGAGAGTGCTGCAAAGGGGGATGGCTGTTGTGCTTCTCACCTAGTGGGTTTACTCCAGGCCTACTTCTGTAATCTCTTTATTAAAATGGAGTTGCAGTTTACAGCACAGTTACGGGACCTGCTGGATTGGCAGCGAGGCCACAGGTCTCTTGAGGTCTGAAAAAGACCTCAAGTGAGCATGGTAAGTGTACTTCCTCTGTAGAGCAGCATTTCATTTCAACTTGCTATTATTCAAGCAAAAGAAATCTTCGAGATAAAATGGAAAAAGGGTTGATAACCACAAATGTATTTGCAAGTACTAACATTTTCAGGTTTTCCTGAATGTGCCGTAGGAAGAGCAATGCTCAGGAAGAGTTTTCTAACATGAATAAGGAAGAAGCAGAACCATAAAGGAAATCATTCAAAATCTTCAGAGTTCAACACCTCCAGCTCTCTCCCTTGATGAGGAATCTCTTTTGAATCTGAGCACATGTATCCTCTTTAAGCCTTTAGGGGATTTTTTCTGTTACTCGACAGCAATGAGAGGCTTAAATACTCCCTTAAACAATCCAGCTTTCCCACCCACCCCCATGTGCGTCCAAAGTGTCTGCTGTTGCAGTTTGAGATGTGAATGCAGGAAGGAGGAAAATAGAATGCTAAATAACTCCAGATTTCACGTGATACATGAGAATTTGTTTGTATTAATGCCAAGCAGAAAGCCTGTGGCCTCAACTGTACCCACAGGTCTAATAAAAGCTGTGGGTTTTCTAAACCACACTTCCATAAGCATTTTCTTAAGAGCAGCACAATTACAGCACAAAGATCCAGCTTTGACAAATTGGAAGAAGTATAAACAGTCCTGAAGTGATAAAGTACCTGAGGCTGATGCTAATTAAAGACACCCCTTGATGACTTCTGTCTGAAGAAGTTTTGGTTGCTAAGAAATTGCATACTTCACACTCTTGCTCAGGATGAGAGTCTGGTCTTTGTCTAAGAGGTGCTGCTGGATTGCTTAGAACAATAGCTGCTGCGCTACAGAGGGCGACTGAGATAGATTCTACCTCAAGCAGAAGGTTTAGCCTTCCATGAACACCATCTCTTTCAAGCTTTTCCCAAACCTATCCCTGTATTAGATCTCTCTCCATCAGTCACATGGCCTTGCACACTGCTTCTGACTCTGCTTGGGCACCCAGACTCACCTTTCTAACTGTAGCTCCCTGAACTCAAGGTCTGTTCTTGTATGGCATGCAGGCGGTGCTGAATGTTTGTCTTTTAATGTGCCTCCTTTCTTCTCCACTACCAAATACTGACCACTCCAGCACACTGATGGAGCAAGCCAAAGAGAAGGGCCAGGTCTCCTACCTGCCATGAAACTGAGCTTGGAAGTGGGTCAAAACGTATGGGCTAGGAGAGCCCTGAGAATTTAACAGTACCTGCAGAGTATCTCTATGACCTGCTGGCAGAGACAGCTTTTGCTCCTAGAGATATATTACTGTAGGTTCACAGTTGAGTTACTTGGATGGTAAATTAAATTTGACTCTTGCCCTTACAAGAGAGTCTAAACTGAGCACACATGGTCAGATCGAGCCCTTTTCCTTAGGAAAACCTTTGGTAACAATTGACATTTCTCATTACAGGCACAGGAACAGCACTCAGCACTGAGACATGCCAGGGGGAAAAAAACTAACCTCTTTGATCATCACCCTACAAGGTGATAGAGTTTATGGCAGCCAGATGGGAAAGCCCCAGCCAGGGAGGTGTTTTCTCTCCCAGCCCACTCCTAGAGAGGAAGATTTGGCCAGCCTACGAACTGCTGATTTGTCACTGCACGCTCCCTGCCTTGGTTATACTTAAGGCTGGCTCCATCACTGTAACATCAATGTGATGATGTTGGAACTTGGCTTGCAAGAGAGAAATGTTTTAATTGTGAATATTTTTTATTTTATTACAAATTAGGCTTTGGACATAAAAATATCCTCACAAATGCTTTGGTGATGAGGTGCTAATGGTGGCTGAGAGATAGTTACAAGTTTGGAAATGAAACAAATGATATACTTTAAACACTGAAAACTATTTTCAAGCTGTAAGCACAAGGCTGAACTCACCACTCCTACTGCACTCTGAAAGGCTTAGATGGACTTTGGGCCAAGCAATTCTGAAGCTAGAAATGGAACAGGATCCTTTATATATATATATATATATATTTATATATATGATACAATATATGTATACTGAAAACCTGTGATAGAAAAAATTGTCTTCATCATCTAGTTTACAGATACTGCAAAAATTGGTCACAGCCTTTTCTCAATGCACAGGTTTTGCAAAAGATTTCTGTACAGTGTGTATAAAATGCATTTAAAAAAACCCATCATGGTCCCTTTGTGCTTAGTCAAAACCAGCCGTATATTCCAATGAATTCCTTGCCTTAATCATAGCTCCAAAAGGACG